GCATCACTTGAAATATTGTGTCGACTATTTGCGATATATGTAAAACTAAATAAATCAGACATGCATCACTCAAATAAATAATATAAAATCTGCTCACATGCAGATATGAGAAGTGGAGGTTTTTAAAATGGATTCAAATGGCACAGAGCCTCAGGAACAATCAAGCATCAGACAATTAATTCTTCAAAGGTATTTGTTAGTTGTGTGTAGCACAAACAAGTTTTCAATTTCTTATTTGGATGAGTTTCCAAAGTTTCTGTTTCAATTTAAGCTTTTAAACTTTTTTTTATTAAAAGGTTAATTCCCTTATTGTAGAAAATCAGGATCAGAAATTGGGACTACATTTTGTCCTCTTTAGCTTAAAATCTAAAACGCTGGGGCTGGACTAATATAAAAACATTATTTTACACCTTGGGTCCACCCGGGGTCTTTCCGCATGGAGTTTTCATGTTCTCCCTGAGCATGCTTTGGTTCTCTCTGGTTACTCCGGCTTCCTCCCACAGTCCAAAAACATGACTGTTAGGTTAATTGGCTTCTCTAAATTCTCCTTAGGTGTGAGTGTGTGTGTGAATGGTTGTTTGTCTCTTTGTTTGCCCTGCGATAGACTGGCGACCTGTCCAGGGTGTACCCCTCCCATTGACAGCTGGACAGAGGCACCAGCATCCTAGCAAACCCCCAGCAGGGATAAGCGTGACGGAAAATGGATGGATGGATATTTTACCCCTAACTTTAACCTTAAACATAAGCCTTGGATCCTAAATATAATAGAGTTTGCTGCCCAGTTGATATGTGTTATATAAGAGTTAAAAATAAGGCAGACAGCCTGGATACACATGGTAAACATCTGACTAACAGATTGTAGAACGCTTACCCCAAACATTTTAAAAGTGTTTAGCCGATCTGTGATCTTGGTGAGAGCAAACTGGTTCATCACATGCCTCCCTGTGCAGAAAGTTAATGGTCTTTGCTAAACTGAACCATTGTCAGACCTAATGGAGAGATTGGGATTTTACACAAAGACAATTCAATAAGATCCTCTCTGTGAACTAAAGCCTATGTCATCACCACGTCATCAAATCAACCTAAAAGCCCAAAAGCTTGTTGAAATAATGCAGGAAAAAAACAAGAGACACGTCATTAGGATCAACTGACCTTTTAAAGTGAGATTGCAAGGACCGGGACTGTTAGCCTTTTTTTTTTTTTTGTCCATTCAAGGGGTTTAAAATACGTTTTTATTTTTTTCACCAGCTAAATAGATGAGCATGTCTGGATTAGAGAATGTTGAAGTACAGGGATTATCAGTCCAATTTATTAGAGTGTATCTAAGAAAATGAGTCAAAGTGGGAAAAAAAAACAGTTGAAACTTATGTCAGATTTAATTTTGATAAAGAGCTTAATGCTTTCATCTGCCAAATAAAATCAATTTGATCTAAATGGTGCATTACTTCAAGTATAGTATCAACTACATCATTTATAAGACTTTAAACACTATAGTATTTAGAACCAAGGTGTACTGTTTAGTTTTTTAAAAGAATTTATTAATAACCTTTGTACATGGTCTGCATTATAGAGCCAATAAATTACAAACCAATCTGTCAGAGATGAATCCTTGTTTCCTGCAGACGCAGCAACACGTCACCCATGAAGCTCCCGTGCTGAAGCAAGCTTTTTGTTTCATCCCTGAACCTAATCTGAACTCTTTCATGACAGCAGCAAACTAATCATCCCCTCCAATTAACAGCTCACTTTTAATACAGATGCATTATTCCTTCTTATTTTCTATTTAATTGAAAGCTTCTCCAACTTATATTTCTAATACAATTATCCATATCTGAGTGAAGATTTTCACTGTAAATTGGCAGTTGTAGTCTGAGTGTTCCAAAAAAAGAAGTGTTAAAATGCAAAACAACCAAAAATGCAGGGTTAAAGTCTTCTCTGTAAAAACTATAATCATTTGTCTCTATTTAAAGTAATAAAAGGTATTAACCTGAACCAAATCTTTCAAAAACTATTCTTATACGTGTTTCTCATTGTTTGGGGCTTTAGTGTTTCCCATACCAGAAGGTACCAGCTGACAGTGCTGCTGCTTGATGCCCCCTGCTGGTCTGGAGGCAACAAGGAAAAACATTAACAGCTTGACGTTCTGAAAGAGAATGAATTTTTTTATACTGCATGTGTTCTAATTGCATGCACACAAAATCGTTCCTAACAGAACAAAGATCAGCCTTTTACTGATGGCTACTAGTGTATGCAGGACTAAACCTTGACATTATAGCTGTAATGAAAAACTAGACTGTAGATCTTTTGATTCATAAAGATGACAACAGCTAAAAAACTGGTCAGATTTAATTCCGACTGCCCTCTCTGAACATGCATATCTTGCATTAAGTACCCTGATCTCAAAAAGCTGTTTCCTGATGGGGGGGTCCTCTAACCAAATTCTGACTAGCCAAAGATGAATTGACTCTACAATAGGGTAATTTGACAGGAATTTTTGATATGTTTGCAAACCTTCAAAACCACCCAAAATCAGGATTCTTGATAAAATAGAGGGAAAGGAAATGACAACAATTTTACTAAAATTTTAAAACATTTCAAAGTATCTGTAGAAACCCGATATGGATTTTTTGTTTCAGGTTGTATGTTGTAACAGGTTGTATGTTGTAAATGTTTTGCAAGCAAAAGTACCGTATTTTCGCGACTATAAGGCGCATATAAAAGTCTTTTTTTTCCCTCAAAATGTGCGGCGCGCCCTATAGTGCGGTGCGCCCTATGTGTGTTGTTACTGCGGACGTTGTTGAGACCACCATGAGAACGTTAAAGGGGGAAGTGAGGGGGTGGATTGTGTATAAAAGAACAGCTATGTGCTTTATGCAGAACTCCTCAACTCCTCATTAAGGAGATGATGAAAGAGTGGCTGAGGGAGGTGTATGTAAGGAGACCAGGTGTTTTTTTCCACGCATCACCATCGCTGTTAATCTGTGACTCCATGCGGGCCCATCTCACAGCCGATGTGAAAAACATAGTGAAACAAATGAACGCTGTGCTTGCTGTTATTCCGGGAGGTCTGACAATGGAACTTCAAACGCTCGAAATCGGTGTGAACCAGCCGCTCAAAGTAATGCTACCTTCACACCGGACGCAGCAAGAACAGCAAAATCGCGTCTCCTGCTTCATTTTTGCTGTTGTACCAGTTAGTTCTGACGTGCGGCTGAAGCAGCTTTGCTGCTCTGGTGCAAAAGTGTGTCTGACGCGCGTTGGGCGGAGCTACTCTATCCTTTCTTTGCCTTGCAGCTATATTTGCTGTGATCAGTGGGAATAAAGTAGTTTTAATATGTTTTTAATTGAGAAAGTCGACCTGAAAACTTAATCATTGCAGTCGGTTCATCCAGATTACAATCCCATCTTCCAATATTATTTCTGTCAGAGCTGCTCAGACCCCCACATACCAGCAGTGCACTGTCAGTAGGAATCCCATTCAACAGCAGTCTCTGGCCGGGTCGCCTCCTCGTGGTTTACCACGGCACCTGGTAGGTGTTTTTCATCTAAATAATCGAAACTGCAGGCACCAGGATAATAAAAGCGAACAAAGTCTGCCGGCAGATTTCTGCATTTTAAGTTAATTTATGCGTCAATAAACTTTCATTGGAGTGATCACAGCGCTCTGTCTCATCAGCGATGTGTCTGTCTCACGGCCAGCTCCCAGGTTTGATTAATACTTTGTAATAAATACATGAATAAAGCACAAACACACTCAGTTTTGCTCCCGCTCTATTTTTAAATACGCAGTAGAGGTATTTAAACATAGTAGAGGATATGTACCAGTATATAAAACCCGCGCCCTATAGTCCGGTGCTCCTTATGTGTGTGTTAAATACAGTAATGGCACACATAACTGAGACTGCGCCTTTTAGTACGGTGCGCCTTATGGTCATGAAAATACGGGTAGGTTTTTATGTGTGTGCTAATGTTTATCAGCCCTTTTCCCTGTTTTGGGCTCGTTGGTTTCATTATTTTTGACCTATTTTACAATAAGACATCACTTTACACACTACATACTCAATTAAATTTGACTGAATAAAGAGAGTTTAGAAATAGAAATAAGTAAACCATGAGTGATAAAATAAAGTAAAAAAAAAAAAAGCAGATTTTAACAAAGCAAGATTTTTAACCTATCAAACCAACCTTCCTTGTACAGGTATCAAAGAGGAATTAGAATAAAAGTCTCTAATCTAATCAGTTAAAAAACAAAAAAAATCCTACAGATGTGGACCTAGTATACATATAGATAATATTGCTTTTACACTGAAAAATATGAAATATTTATCTAAAATGTATCCAAAACAATAGAAACAATTTACATTTTTTCTTTTTTTTATGAAACCACATATTTTTACCCACAATCTAGTAAACTAGACACCTCTTACCCCTTTGGCACAATAATCATATTAATAGCAAATATTATAATATTGTTCAAATACAAGACATCTGAATAGGATTTGTCACTCACACACTCAGCGTAGGAACACAGTTTCTCTAGTCGTAACACATATTTGTACTGTATGTTATACACAGCATAAAAACAGATTTTATATCTTTTTTTGAACATTTGTTGATATGTAAATAAATTATCTTTCATCTTTAAACAAAACCGATCTGTCTTTGCATGCCCTTGTTATATACAGGATCACTTTGTCTGGATTTGTTCTAGCCGGCTACGGAAAAGCGCAAATGCTAAGCAAACATCAGACTGCTTCTGCATCCTTTACAGCTCATGAATGCACATGGTGTACAAAATATATGGAGATGGTGGTGAACAGCATGTCACAGGTAATTTAGAGCATTCATTTTGTGTTTTGATAATAGCTTTGTGATTTTTTTAAAATAGACTCATATCTGTTGGGGTTAGCAGATTTAAAATGAAGAAAAAAGAAAAAAAAAATCCATGTTTTGTGCATTTGGACCTCTAGACGGCCAGCATTGTTTTTTTTCTTATGTTGATGCAAAGGCCTCCACTCCTCAGAGGGATCTTACGGAATGCATTCATCTGCACATTTAGTCTCCCTCTGCGATCCAGAAAGCAAACATTGGCACATATAAATACATTCGATTTAAAGGCATACCCAATTTTCTACAATGCCAAACATCTGTTTAGACATCCACAAAAACATGTCCTAATATGAGACAGTTAAACGCTCCAGGAAGTATGACACAGAACCAGGGATGAGCTGAAAACAACTGACATGAAATCTCAATCTAACCAATTTGCTTTCTTGCTGAGAGTGAGCTGAGAATAATTAGATCGCTCTAATGCTTGTCAACATAATCAGTTTTCCAGAATCCAGGTTGCACAGGAACAGGCCAAAACGAGCTAAGAATTTTGCAACTTAATACAAAGTTTTAAGACACATGAAGATGCTGTGATCTTTTAATAATAATAACTGAACTTCATTGATCTCACGTTGGAGAAATTTACCTCTGCATTTAACCCATCCCCTTGGGGAGCCATTGTGAGGTGCCTGGGAAGAGTGTGGGGTTAAGGGTCTTGCTCGGAGACCCAAAGTGGAGGCTGTGGGAATCGAACCGGCTTGCAAACTTCTCAGAGCACAAGTGCACTGTTCTAACCACTAGGCCAACACTCCCCATCTATATACCTAACAACCACCTGAGTGGTACTGATTGTTACCTTAAAAAACGTGAAGGCAAAAAACATATATAAGAAAACATTTCAACCAATGTCCTGATATATTACATTTAAACTGATTGGCATTACTATGAATATATATATATATAAACAGGAGTAAGTGCCTTTAATTAAATGAAGTGTGTGACATAAAACCTTATGAAAACAATCCGTAAAGTTGGAAATCTGAAACTATGTTGACAAGTATCTGTTTCTGGGAACATCATTTGTGTTTGAGCATATAAGGAGACAAAGTTTATTATTTATTCTCCAACTTGGTAATATCCCATGGCTCAAATGTGACCTTTTCTTTATCGCACTCTCAGCAAGACAGCATTTTTTTAATCCCAAAGTGGGGACGCATTTATAATGGTCTTAGATTATTTTCAAGTCAGTGTTTTTTTGTCCCCTTGTTGTCAACTTTTGGCCACGCTGGATGTCAGTCATTTCTTTCTGCTTCATATTGTTTGTGATCAAAGGGATGTGCCAACATTTTAATCTCTAAACCAAAACAAATGTAACAAATTTTATGTAATTTAAAAAATGTCCAACAAACAACCTTTTAGAAGATTCTATTAATTTTTGTCCAACTAAGATTTCAACTGACTTTCCCTCCAACTAATCGATTTTAAAGCAGTGCCTTAGATGGAACAGGTCATTGTCACCCGCTGACTAATTGTATCAGGAAAATATCATGACTGGGATCCAGCTAAGCCTTACAGATTGCACTTCTGAATGCCACAGGTCAGCAGAAAAGCTTTGAGGTCAAATTCCTCCAAATGATCCACCTGAGTGAGAGCTTAATACTGCAAATGTTCATGGTAAAAACAACACCTAGTCTCGTCACTTCTCCCGTGTTCTCCCTCCATCTCTAGTTACAGGCTTAGAGCTACAAAAGATTTGGTCCCAACTGCCTCAGGAGTAATGTAAAAAATATACATTCAGACTTACTGGAAGAGTAGAAAACATGAAAACCATAAACTGTCTGTGATGAGAGCTGAGCAAAAAAAAAAATGCTTTATGAAATAGGTTTTCTAGATCAACAAACTGTTTAGTATATTCTGGCAATGCACTTTCATCAGACACTTGGAGTTTATCACTATAGAGAATCTATAATTCTTCTATAAATCCACTGTTATTTCTCACACACTAGTTTTTAATTGTGTGCTCATACTTCTTTGATTTGTTTGAGCAACTCCATACTGTGTGTGCCCTTTGCAGCTTGTCCATTTGTGGTTCTTACTTTGCACTCTCTGCTGCCATTTTCCCATCACTTTTCCTTCTCTAAGATACAGCAGAAACACACTCAGGCCCACTGAAGCACACACACAGAATCTGTAATTAGTTGTCAGCCGAGATACCTTAAGGCCACAAGCCCAATCTAAATGACGGAGAACCTCCAAGAAGGATTTCTGCGGCTGCCCAAACACCTCGGTGTCACAATGGCCGGAACAACATGCGAGAAAATACGACACCCTGCAGGCCTCTTGTACTCACATCTCACTGTAAACATGTAAACGCAATCACAGCTTGGTGTCTTCACCAACCACGACTCCCTGACGACGTCTCCTCTGGTTTTTACTCCAATCGGTGATGAATGGATTCTAGTCTGTCCATCCTGTTTGCTCTATTTTCTCCAGCTCATCACGTCTACCTCACAGTGAGGAGGAACTCTGACTGTAGTTTCTGAGAGTCAGGCGGGTGTACCTGGGAGAAGGGGGAGAGGGAGGCGGGTGATTGGGGACAGGAGGAACAAAGAGACCTGTCTCTGAGATCTGGGAGCTACTGCTAGAACCCAGAGAGTCACGGAAGGGGGAAGGAGGTGTCAACGCAATGAGCTCCTCTTCCAGCTCAGACCTTCTGAGCGGGGAGTCGGGGAGATGGGAGACCAGGCTTCCTCTTATTGGGGAAATAGAGGGGGATGAGTGGGGATGAGGAGGCGGCAGGGGATAAGGAGAGCGAGGGATGGAGTGAACTGGACAGGGGGCCCGGGTGCCCAGACTGGATTCAATAGGGGGAAGGGGCTGAACATCAGCGTATGTAGTGAGAGTCGGGGGCATCGGGATCTCGCGGGGTAGCAGGTAGGGATCAGGGGGATGAGCAGCAGGGGGAGCGTGTTTTTGTGTGTGGGTTGGAGACGGGTAGAGCATCATGCTGTTGAGCTCAGTAATATTAGCAGTGAAGCGGTTCACAACGCAGCTAATCTGATCCATCAGATTGCTCTGGGGCTGTGACGGGCGGTCGTCCAGAGCAACTAGACGCCCGTCACTCCCAGCCGCCCCAGAGCCGCTGCTGGGAGGCCCGCCACTGCTGCTGCTGCCGCCGCTGCACACACTGCTGGAATACTTGGAAATGCAGGCCACCTGGGACTCCTCCCCTAAACTGGCTGCTATCCTCTGGCTCACGGTGCTGATGGGTGATGGCGTCTGCGGCTGGTAGGTGATTGAGTAGTGCTCCTCTGCTTCTGAGAGCTCGTAGAGGGTCTTGTCTGTCCCATTGTCAGGATGAGTCGGCAAAGAGGACATAGAGGAGAGGGAGGGCAGAGGTACATGCGGGGGCAAGTCAGATCCTCCACAGTAACGCTCCTCAGAGGTTTTGGAGAAGGGCTTAATGACTGCTGTCTGATTGTTCTCCTTCTTCTTGATGTGGAAGGACAGCCGCTGCCACAGGTGGTTGCCTCGTGAGCTGCTGCGCTCTGTCTGCGCCCAAGACACAGATTTACCATTGGAGCTGCAGAAAATGAGAAAACGGAATAAAGGGAAGAGGAAGAAATGCTTAGAGCTTTAAGATAGAGAAGCAAATTAAATATTTTGTCCATTAGCCATCCCAGTCTATTTACTAGTGATTTAAGTAGTTACAGATAACAAATTAAAAAAAATAATTCATTTGTAAATTTGAATCAACCATTGACGTTAGATTGATTTAATATGTAGAGAAATCTCATTATTTTGAATTGCTCTCCTTAAAAACGTATGTTTTTCTGTACTTATTTGCATTTATCAGGATTTACATGTTGGTCAAAATATATATATACATATAATCATCAACTACATCAATGTCCTATTATTAATTTCTGGTTATTATTAATTGAGACAAATTTAGATTACAGACCTGGTTAAAAGTTACGCATACAGCCCAAGATACACAAATACACACATCCTGCTAAAACTTAAAAGAAGTTGATTTTCATAGACAGGCTCTGCTTTTAGGCAGAGCTCATACATTTTCAACAGGACTGACCTATTCCAGAAGCTCTAGTGTTATGTGATGTATCATTACAAAATCTTTTTGTTTGTTCGGGAACCTTGTCTCTTTGGAACAATCAACTCTAACGAAGTTTCCCTCCTACTGACTCAAACTATCATTCTAAGATTGAAGGACTTGTTTACATTAATTAGGAGCAACCCAGGAAGCCCAACCCTCAGGCTAAACATTAACTCTGAAATAAAGGGGCATCTGAGTCGCTGCAAACAGTAAAACAGGATTTACATCACCTCATACTGAGAGCAAAGAAAGAAGCTCCAAAATAAACAACTTTATTAAACAAATTGAAATGAGAAAGACATTTGCAGCTGCCCACACAAAACATATAAATTGCATTTGCACAAAACTTCTAATGGACAGACCAGGCACCAATTTGGCCTTTTAGCCAAAACAACAACCAGAATGTTTAGAGGAGTTGAAGACTGGGTCCTCAGATCTGATAACAATATGCCAACTGTCATGCATGGTGGTAGAAGCATCATGCTGTGAGACTAATTTGCTTTTAATAGTGTTTCTCAGAAAATTAGCCTGGCCTGCAAATTTGGTTGCCTAATGAAACGTGAATAATATATTCTGTAGCGTAAAGAAGTCTGTTATGTAAAGCCCACACAACCAACTGCAATGCTTTTCAAATTACAGGACACTTACAAAACTCGAAAAGTACTGGGAGAGTGCAAACCTCTGACAAGCAGCAAATTTTGCCCAGTATTGTGACTAACAGCTAGAGCTAAAACTCAAGATGATCTGGATCATTACTAAATTTGAATTATTGTTCCTTGGCATGAGGAACAATAATTTAACTTTTACTTAAAATTCCTTCATAAGGCAGGCGGTGCCAAAGGACACTGCCTGCTTTCTTGTTTGGAGAGCAGATCGTGACTTCAAGTGAGGAACGACTCACCTTTCCTGTGTTTTTTTTCTTCAGTATAATCCTTCTGGACTTTTGTGAGTCTGATGCTGAAGCTGTTAATAATCACTGCTGCCCTTCTCTGGTTTAGGGGGAACTTCTTGTTCCGCCAAATAATGTTAAAGAATCCTTTAAAATTTCCTGCATCCAGATTATGATGTGCATCATCATCAAATTTTAAGAGGCCCAAGGTGCAAGTGTCATTAAAATCTGTTCATAACTTTTCAGGTTATCCTGTACACAAATAGACGGACAAACAAACACACAAATTAAAATAAAACATAACCTCCTTGGCGCATTTAAAAACAGAAAAAAAGGACATCTAAGTGATCTCAAATCAACGGTTAGGGGTTGAAATTTGTACAGAAAAAAATTATATATATATATATATATATATATATATATATATATATATATATATATATATATATATATATATATATACAGGTGCTGGTCATAAAATTAGAATATCATGAAAAAGTAGATTGATTTCAGTAATTCCATTTAAAAAGTGAAACTTGTATATTATATTCATACATTACATACAAACTCATATATTTCAGATGTTTATTTTGTTTAATTTTGATGATTACAAATGACAACAAATGAAAATCCCAAATTCATCATATCAGAAAATTAGAATATTACTGAAGACCAATAAAAACAAAGGATTTATAGAAATGTTGGCCAACTGAAAAGTATGAACATGAAAAGTATGAGCATGTACAGCACTCAGTATTTAGTTGGGCCTCCTTTGGCCTGTATTACTGCAGCAATGCGGCGTGGCATGGAGTCGATCAGTCTGTGGCACTGCTCAGGTGTTATGATAGCCCAGGTTGCTCTAATAGTGGCTTTTAGCTCTTCTGAATTGTTGGGTCTGGTGTATTGCATCTTCTTCTTCACAATACCCCATAGATTTTCTATGGGGTTAAGGTCAGGAGAGTTTGCTGGCCAATTAAGAACAGGGATACCATGGTCCTTCAACCAGGTACTGGTAGCTTTGGCACTGTGTGCAGGTGCCAAGTCCTGTTGGAAAATGAAATCTGCATCTCCAAAAAGTTGGTCAGCTGCAGGAAGCATGAAGTGCTCTAAAACTTCCTGGTATGTGGCTGCGTTGACCCTGGACCTCAGAAAACACAATGGACCAACACCAGCAGATGACATGGCACCCCAAACCATCACTGACTGTGGAAACTTTACACTGGACTTCAAGCAACGTGGATGAAGTGCCTCTCTTCTTTTCCTCCAGACTCTGGGACCTTGATTTCCAAAGGAAATGCAAAATTTACTTTCATCAGAGAACATGACTTTGGACCACTCACCAGCAGTCCAGTCCTGTTTCTCTTTAGCCCAGGCAAGACGCTTCTGACGCTGTCTGTGGTTCAAGAGTGGCTTGACACAAGGAATGCGACAGCAGAAACCCATGTCTTTCATACGTCTGTGTGTGGTGGTTCTTGAAGCACTCACTCCAGCTGCAGTCCACTCTTTGTGAATCTCCCCCACATTTTTGAATGGGTTTTGTTTCACAATCCTCTCCAGGGTGCGGTTATCTCTCTTGCTTGTACACTTTTTTCGACCACATCTTTTCCTTCCCTTCGCCTCTCTATTAATGTGCTTGGACACTGAGCTCTGTGAACAGCCAGCCTCTTTAGCGATGACCTTTTGTGTCTTGCCCTCCTTGTGCAAGGTGTCGATGGTCGTCTTTTGGACAACTGTCAAGTCAGCAGTCTTCCCCATGATTGTGTAGCCTATAGAACTAGACTGAAAGACCATTTAAAGGCTTTTGCAGGTGGTTTGAGTTAATTAGCTGATTAGAGTGTGGCACCAGGGGCCATCAATTTTGAACCTTTTCACAATATTCTAATTTTCTGATATGATGAATTTGAGATTTTCATTTGTTGTCATTTGTAATCATCAAAATTAAACAAAATAAACATCTGAAATATATGAGTTTGTATGTAATGTATGAATATAATATACAAGTTTCACTTTTTAAATGGAATTACTGAAATCAATCTACTTTTTCATGATATTCTAATTTTATGACCAGCACCTGTATATATATATATATATATATATATATGTATATATATATATATATATATATACACTATATTGCCAAAAGTATTTGCTCACCTGCCTTGACTCACATATGAGCTTAAGTGACATCCCGTTCCTAATCCATAGGGTTCAATATGACGTCGGTCCACCCTTTGCAGCTAGAACAGCTTCAACTCTTCTGGGAAGGCTGTCCACAAGGTTTAGGAGTGTGTTTATGGGAATTTTTGACCATTCTTCCAGAAGCGCATTTGTGAGGTCGCACACTGATGTTGGACGAGAAGGCCTGGCTCTCAGTCTCCGCTCTAATTCATCCCAAAGGTGTTCTATCGGGTTGAGGTCAGGACTCTGTGCAGGCCAGTCAAGTTCATCCACACCAGACTCTGTCATCCATGTCTTTATGGACCTTGCTTTGTGCACTGGTGCACAGTCATGTTGGAAGAGGAAGGGGCCAGCTCCAAACTGTTCCCACAAAGTTGGGAGCATGGAATTGTCCAAAATGTCTTGGTATGCTGAAGCATTCAGAGTTCCTTTCACTGGAACTAAGGGGCCAAGCCCAGCTCCTGAAAAACAACCCCACACCATAATCCCCCCTCCACCAAACTTTACACTTGGCACAATGCAGTCAGACAAGTACCGTTCTCCTGGCAACCGCCAAACCCAGACCCGTCCATCAGATTGCCAGATGGAGAAGCGCGATTCGTCACTCCAGAGAACGCGTCTCCACTGCTCTAGAGTCCAGTGGCGGCGTGCTTTACACCACCGCATCCGACGCTTTGCATTGCACTTGGTGATGTATGGCTTGGATGCAGCTGCTCGACCATGGAAACCCATTCCATGAAGCTCTCTGCGCACTGTTCTTGAGCTAATCTGAAGGCCACATGAAGTTTGGAGGTCTGTAGTGATTGACTCTGCAGAAAGTTGGCGACCTCTTCGCACTATGCGCGTCAGCATCCGCTGACCCCGCTCCGTCAGTTTACGTGGCCTACCACTTCGTGGCTGAGTTGCTGTCGTTCCCAAACACTTCCATTTTCTTATAATACAGCTGACAGTTGACTGTGGAATATTTAGGAGCGAGGAAATTTCACGACTGGATTTGTTGCACAGGTGGCATCCTATCACAGTTCCACGCTGGAATTCACTGAGCTCCTGAGAGCGACCCATTCTTTCACAAATGTTTGTAAAAACAGTCTGCATGCCTAGGTGCTTGAATTTATACACCTGTGGCCATGGAAGTGATTGGAACACCTGATTCCAATAATTTGGATGGGTGAGCAAATACTTTTGGCAATATAGTGTATATATATATATTTATATATTGATATATAGATATAGATATATAGATATATACATATAAATTAAGATTTGCTTTTTGGAAAAAAAAAATCCAAGCTGAAGAAAAAAACTTTCAATCATTAAAAAAAAATTATTTGTTATTATTATTTTATAATTATTTAAAAAACAAAAACAAAAAAGTCATTTATGGCGATGATGGTGTTAAAACTTTTTGTAGCACTATGCACTGGAAAATAGGAGTGTCTGGGTCCAATATTAATGTTGCATATCTGTCCGATATTAAACAAAAAACAGTTGGGTTATTTCGGCCAACATCTAAAACCTCCGATAGTTGCATCCTGATAGAAACAGTTGGCTGCAATTTAAAATATCTGCAACCAATTGGTTATATTACATTGGTAAGTTCTTCTCAAACCAATTGTGTTTGACTATTGATCTCTGTTTCAGTAAAATCTATTTCTAACATTCTACAGTACAAAATAAGTATTAAAAGCATGTATAAATCTTGCTTACATCATATCAGGTCAATATCACTATTGCACCATTGGTCAGTTCTCATAGCTGTTATATCGGTATTGAGAGAAATGAAAAAGTTGTATTGGTTGTTCCATTTAATGAGTGGCTACATTTTTATAAACAAAACTACGCCAGTGTAAACCAATTAAACTAGCTTTTGCCAGATCATGTTTCTCCCTTCCAGATCTCCAGGTACATTTTCAGTTGTGTCTGTTTCACTGGAGGCAGATATATCTGTCCTTCGCTGCCCCTCTATCTTTTTGTCAGGTTAATTAGCGCAATTCATCTATAAAGGAACTCCTGATTAAACCCCATGACTGGAAGGAGGCCTTAAATACCCTTTGAAATAACCTGTAGAACCTTTTAGAGATACATGCTGCATACTAAACCACAGTTTAATCTATCTTCTAAAGCATCTGTCATTTTAAGCTCAGAGGTTGATTTGACTGTCTGGTGAAAGTAAACCAGCCTCTTCTCGGCTGTTCAAACATAGAAATTTTCTTATCCTTCCAGTCTGCTGGATTTTTGTTTCTGCCTGTGTTTGTTCAGCCTGCTCTGACAATGACAGCATCTCAAACACAACACTTTCCAGCCCCTCACCGAGGAGACAGACAGCCCTGCCAATTACCACCACCCACAGAGGACGATAGCACCAAAAGAGACGTGTAGGGGGAAGGAGGAAAGACAGGAGCAGAGGTTTTTTTTTTTACAGGAGGCTGATTGAGATCTTGCTTGCCAAGCAGGGCGAGCTGAAGCAACCTGCTGACAAATGAAAATGTATTCCAGCCTTTTCTCTGAGACGTGTGGCGATACGTCACTCCATTTTGAATTTTTGATTGGTTCCCAGTAACTGTGGATAGCCTCAAGAGTGTAAGGTACAGTAAGACCAATAGTGTCCACTTTATTTTTACATCACCTCAGCTCTTCATTGCCTTCAGTATCAATCTCTTCATTTGTTTATATCCATCAATCCTCTCCCATTCATTCTCCTTTTTCATGTCTCCATTAGGCAATTTTCCAAAGTTCACAATGAGGTCAGAAGAAAAAGCAACTAGCTTCAGGTGAATGCAGACAATCAATCGCTTTCCCAGCATGAGCGCTTTCTTAAGTGGTGCCATTATAGAGATGCTGGGGGAGGTAGATTCTCACACACAATACCTTAGGGTCTCTCCAGTAGAGCCTCTGCGTTTAAACAGGTTAACCAGGCTGGAGGAGCGGCTGGCGGCTGAAGACGACTTTCCGTCTCCCACATGCATGCGGACCACAGTGCTGGTGGTGAAGGCACTGCGTACGTTACGCTCTGGTTTGGCCAGGATGATGTACACCTGAGGAGGGACAGAACATCGCGTTTGTCATCATCTGGTTCGGTTTAGTGCCATTTTTGGATTTAAAGCTGCATTTCAGACATGTTCATAAAAATACTTTTTTTTTTTTATTAATCAATTAAAACATTGTATAAAAGTACAAACAATCTACTGTTAAATTATTTTTTCTCTATGTTTAAAGAAAGGCTAACTTTTCAGTTTCTTATATTCTGTAACTGTTGGGAGCTGGAGAAAATCCCATCTTTCTCCAGCAGACCCCGCCGTGGATCCTCTGAGGGAGCTTCCTGCACAGGTGCAGCTCATCAAGATCATCAGAGGATCCACTATATAAGCTGTCTTCAGACCTTGCCTCAACGCCGCAGTGTTGTTCCAGTTGGTCAGCGCTAAAGCCTAGATCTTTGTGTTATCTCCATGACTTTGAATCCAGGTTGGATTCTAATCACTTTCTCTGTGTTTCCAGGAAACCCGTGTCTCCTCCGTGAAAGCTCAGGAAGAGCTAACCTGCCGAGCCGACCCTCCGAGCCAAACCCTGAAGATTCTCTGAGAACCTCCAAGCAGCTCTGGACTAGAGCTGAGAAACCCAAGTCAAGGTCTGTTCAAATTAGACGTGAGACGCTGAAGCAGCAAACGGACTCTGCTGATAAACTCTTCTCCAGAACCGACAGTGACTCTCCCAAAGAGAACCTCAAGAACCCTCAAGGTACTATCAGTGCTTCCTTGGAAATCAAATCCTGTCAGCAGTCCATAACAGCTCTGTCTCTCACGCAGACTCCGGTGAAACCAGAATCCAGGCCCGAACCAGTCATCAGTACATTCTGTGTGTTGTGCGAAATAAACTTGTTAAACTTTTCATCCCTGTGTCCGTCAGTGGTGTTCTGCATTACTGGGTCTCCATTAGAGAACCCATCATGTTAGTAACTGTGACCAGTAACTCAGAAATTAAAGCAAATTATTACAGAACATTGAAACTCTAAACCTGTTGAATAAGAAAAATGTCAGAATTGTTTGTGGACAAAAATGGAAGAAATGAACAATGATTTAAGGTAGATGATTACAGAGCTATTTATTTGAAATAAAATGAATAAAACATACTGCTTTAAAGATCTCCCATACTTGTTGATACCCAGGTACCCAGATTTTCTTTTATTTTCAGTTAACTTTCATTTTGTATAAGCTTATCAGTGTTGAGGAACTTTTAATTAGTAAACCAAAACTTCTGGTTTCCCTGGAGATAAATATGCCCTGTCATAGATTCCAGATCTCTGTTGATCATCACACACCTTTAATTAAAAAATATTCCCTGCCTAAAACGAAAAAAAAAAAAACTTAAGTCAGAGCAATCATTATTCATGTTCAATACAAGTTGACCTTAGACAAATGAGGCTGCATGATGACTCATAAACTGTGGGTCACTAGCCTCCATAAATATAAGGTAGTTAATTTTCCTTTGGGATTAATAAAGTATCTTTGTAATGAATTTCAGATAGAGCTGTTTATCTCCTATTATCACAAACAATTCTAGGAATTAAACTGCACTAGTGAGCTTTGCTTATACATAAACAGCCCTGTTGGCATAAAGAAAATTAATTTTAGAAAAGTGCCTCCGAACCACTGTTTGTATAATCAGCATCTGTGATGCTGTCGGCCTCTTTAGCCTGAAATTAGAGAGCATGCCTGGAATTTCAAGAGCAATTATGAGCTTTTCAACAAATATCAAATAATCTCTGTCAGGAATCAGAAAGCGGTCATCACTGGGTCTTGTAATGAACTAATAACATGAAATGTGGCAAAAACAACAGAATAATAGTTTACCCATGACTCTGAACAACTTGGAGAGATTAAAATCGAAAAGTGGTTGTAAGATATCTCTTTTTATGCAATTTAAAGTTTTCATCCACATTTAGATTTGGCAACATTATTTGTAGATGGCACAATTCAATTACACAAGAAATGTATTGATAAACTTACCTTGGGTACAAACATGCAGCACAGAGCAACTGTGGCACTGAGGCTAACACTGAAGCACATGGTGATAATCTTATAGTTGGAGCCAAAGTAGATGGGGACAAACGCCAACCAGATGATGCAGGTGGTATACATTGTAAAAGCTATGTACTTGGCCTCGTTGAAATTAGCCGGGACATTGCGAGTCTTGGGAAAAGAGAAGAAATAAAGAATTCAACCATTAGTACACAAAGTTGCAGCTCATTTCTCATTCTCTGTCTTCAAGAAGAGATGGTATCGTTTTAATTTTTATGAACAATAAATATAGAGCTGGAATTAACATTTATGCAAGTTTGTGTTTGTAGGAAGCACAGGTTAAACCTGTTGCTATAAACCTAAACCACCTAAGACACAGTAATATATTCAGCTGTTCTGTCTGTGCCTGTTTTCAGACCAACAATAATCAAAGTCTGAGTGATTTAACCTTTTCTGGTGACTTTTCTGTCTCTTAAGTAACATAATACTAAGAAACTTTAAATGAGAATTTAGCCTCTTTGGTAGCCATCTACCAATTTGCTGCTGTCGACCATCTGTGAACATTTAAACTTGATGAAAAAGTTGAGTGTAAATCTAACTAAAAGAAAAAAAAATAAGAGAGTTCTACAGAAATGAATTGTAGGTCAAAGGAAAACTCTACTGTGTGAGATTCCTTAATCAGTTCTTAGCTTTACAGAAATGTTTTGCTAAACAAAAAGATAAAAGCAAAAGGAAGAAACGTTAAGTTTGGCTAAGCATTTACGCTTAACCTGAAAATCATTACAATATCATGTGTCTAACTGTGATATTCTTTCAGATTCTAAACATTTTGTCATTTTTCTCCTGAAAATTTTGTCCAAGAACTGAAAACCTTTTTTTTTATACAGCTCTGTTCTTTATTTTAATATACTGATTACATGAAAAACAGTGTTATGACAGTATTTAGTTGTTGTTTTTTTCAGAACTATGCTAAAGATTGTTGCATAAATATTCACACTGAGAGTAACTGGAATGTGGTGGATATCAGCTTGTACAGCAGTTTAAACACATGAGCACATTTACTGCAGATGCGTGCTGAAAAGAGAGAAGCCTGTAAAGAATAAATTATAATCAAAGATACGTCCGTCTGTAGTTTATATAAAGTTATATATTAGAGTGTTTGATGCAATCAAAATTTCGAATAGACTTTCAATCATCAATTTGTTTCTTCCTACAAGGGCGCCACATTTTATCACACTGCAAATGCAACACTGGCCAGTGTGACTTCAGCATCAGAATCAACCTTAATCGCTGAGTTTGTTCGCTCAAGAGCTTTGACCACAGTTTTAAGGTTAAAAAAGGTGATGTTTGCCACATTTTTCTCTCTTTGTGTTTAAACCCATGACTGACTGATTACCTGTCTTCCAGTGTTTGCATGTTTAGAACTTATGCAGAAGTCAAACTCATTTTTAACAGACTTTGAGCATCTAAATTCTGCAGTTCTCCTCCTTGCTGACATTTTGAGCCCTCATGATTACCTATTTGTTAGTAGATACAGTAAAAAGAAATGAATTAATTCAATATTATACATGTCATGCTGAATGTTTCACTTATAATTACATATTTTCCTGCCTCAACATCCATTTCTTTTTTTCTAAAATTATATTCTAGTGGTTTGCATATAAATGAAGGCGTATATCTTGGGAAAGTAATTAAGTTTTTAAAACAATTAATTGAGATATTGAAATTAACTTAATCTTAATTGAAGTTAAGATTATGAACAAATTGTTTAGAATAAATAAGCTGTGTTTAGACTTAAAAACAGACTAAAACCTGAGAAAAGTTACACCAATAATCCTATTCATTGTGACTTTTGTCACTAAGTTTTTCAGATTTCAGGAGCTTCTGCTATTGCTTCATTTTACAGACATATTTGGTATCAGTATCGTTTGCTTTGCAGTCTCTCTTTTTTAGTGTATTACATATACCATCTAAATTTGAGAAATTTTTGTGAGCTTCGACTGCTTAACATGAACAATGACACACTCAGCTTTGGTATTAAGTATTATATCAGAATTTTTTGTAAAATATGAGTAAGAAATTGCCCCTATATCACAGATGTTTTGTTGATAAAGAAACATTACTTCGGTAGAGAAAGATATACCTTAAAGGCATAAAAGGTGCAGCTGAGGATCAGCAGACCATTGTATCCCAGGGGGGCTACGACTCCAAGGTTAGTGGTGTTGCAAATGAGGTTGACCTGGCGGATGCTGGGGTAGTCATGAATCACCTGGAGATAGTGAGAAGACAGATTTTTCAAACTGAACCAAATGTTGGGTTATAGCAAATGTAAATTCTTAGGATCCTTAGGCATGTTTCTTTAATCATTTCGTGCAGCTCTTAGGTCACACGTGTGTAGCCTGAAAGCTTACATCTGGTGGCTCCATGAGAAAAAGAGCCACGATGATGCCCAACTGCAGCAGTATAAGGAGGAAGGCAATGATGAGCTGGGCACAGGCTGACATGAAGCGCGGTTTCTTTGTACAGATCTTCTTCTTGCTTCCTGCCAGAATCCGAGCGATGCGGTTTGTCTGCAATAGCATAGCATAGCAAGCATAATTGGGACATGCATCACTTACTCTACAGAGCAGCTTCCATGTGTGAACGGTGGCTTTGATCCAATTTCTCACCTTGGTGACTAGTGCAGAGTAACTCATGGCAGGCGACAGACCTATTCCCAGTCGTTGGAGGTAGCAGTGGATCACATGGGGTTTTGCAATGAGGGTGAAGGTGCACAGATATCCCAGGCAAATCCCAGCTAGTATGATATAACACAGCTCCCGGCTGGAGGATTTCACAACCGGGGTGTCCCGGAAGCTTAAAGACACACAGTTAGGAGAACGTTAGATTCAACAGTGAGGACATGAAAAGCAAAGCCAATCAAATTAGAAAAAGGGGGAAAATAATGAAGAGAAAAAGAAAGTTCTAGTATGGTTTTCTTGTTTAGTTTATTTTGAAGGTTAAAAGTTTCTTACTGGATAAAGACTCCAGTGACAAAGAAGGTGGCCATTAGACCGAGGCAGGCAAATACCAGAGCTGCTATGGGTTCTGGATCCCCCCATCGCAGGTACTCCACAGGGATTGGGTCACAGCCTGGAGAAGAAGGATGTAAACGCATAAAGATGCAATATTTGCGTGGAAGTGAAACTAAACATTATTTAAATTTTTGTATGAAAAAATTTAAAAATATCTTTTCATTTTTTTTAAAAGAAAACTTTTTTTAACATTTAGCTCCATTATATAAGGTATTTGTTAATCTTTAACCTGTTTACATTCTGATTGTTACAATTGTGTTTTATTGTATTTTATCAGGCTTTTTAATAAATAACCAAAACAAAGTACTGCATAATACATTATTTAAAAAAAATATATGTAGTTGTTATTTGAATATTTTAACAAATATAAATCTTAAAGGATAGGGTGCATTTGTGTCAGTTACTCTGATACCCCCGAATGAATCAATTAGAATCCATTCCCTTTAGGCGACACCTAACGAATAAAATTCAAGTGGGTTTCACTTGAATGTCAAAATAAATTAGTTTTTTCTGTTAAAGGTTTGTTAGAAAATATTAGGAAACAAAAGAAGATAAAGAAGACAAAAGACAGGTTAGACAGAGAGGTTCAACTCTGCCTTTTTCAGAGAAAAAGTTGAGAGGCCGATAGCATCTCTGGAGAATCTACTGACATCAGCTGCTTAGATGGAAGAATATCTGACATGACATTTATTTGGAAGACAATCCAGAAATCGGTCCTTAAATAGGGAGGAGTAAAAAACTCACAAGCACTTTTATTTACAGTTTGCCAAAAAAATAGAGACAATGTCCTTTTTGACCTACATTTAAATCCTATAGTATAAGTGAAGGCATGGCCGTGGGCAGTGGGTGTGCTTGGGGTACTGCAGAAACTCCTAGTGACAATTTCTAACTTTCTTTTTAATATTTTGGAAAATGATTTTAACTTTTTTTATTTTACTATTAGGTGTATTTGGATTTTTATTGAATTACTTTGAGGCCAAATCAACACGTTTCATGGAAGTTATGGCAACGTCAAGCAAGCTAATGGTCACCCAAAAGGTATTTAAGGAGACTAGTAAATGTACAGTTTAATGACAGAAACAAGAGGAAATATAGCAAAGAAACACATCTCAGATTTGTCCGGATTTGTAGCTCATCTATTCATGTAGTTCAATGTAATATAGTACTTTAATGTCATTTTGATCTTGTGTTCTTTGCGTAATGGATGTGGAGAACTGTTCAATGATGTTTAAATTGTATCATAATATAATTATTTCCTTGTTGTTTGTGTAAAAGGATTTTGGGGCTAAGAGAGTCACGTGTTACATAAACACATTGACTCAGGGTAATGCCAGCTGACCAAATCTAGGTTGTTATAGTGTTATTGTGAAGTTGAATTAATAGTGTATATATTGACCCGAGAACTGATGATGTCTTTGTGTTAAAGACCCATGTTGCATGCACTGAAGTGTATATGACAATAAAGTCTATTTAATTATTATTTATTTTTATTGTATTTTAAATAGGGCTCATAGGTTTTTTTGTCCAAAAAAAAAAAGAAGAAACATTTTCACAGTACCCCCTGTTCAAAATTACTTCCTGCTTCCTGTGGACCTATGTGAAGGAAAATTCCACTTCACACTCCCCCGCAATCATTAAACCGATGGTCAAAGATGATGGCAGGGCATTGACGGGAGCAAAAATGCTAGAGGCTGTAAAAGATTTGAATGGCAGAGGTTTACCTTGCGGGATAACTACAATAATAAACACTGCCAGCACACAAAAATATCAAAACATAATGCATAAGTGTGTGGGTACACAATGGCAGCCCACTGCTCCCCAAGGGGATGGGTCAAAATGCAGAGAACGAATTTCCCCATTGTGGGACAATAAAGGGATTTACATACATTATATAATAACTACACAACCTCTAAAACCTACATAATGAAAAAGAAATTGTGGTTTAAAAAAAAAAAAAGGCCAATGATAGATGCTCTTCATTCAACCAGGAGCTTAAACTACTTTCTAAATATCGAGAGGCAAAAAGAAAAAAACAAACCATTTACAGTAAATAGCTTTGCACTGCAAATCCATTCACTTTCCTTTTTATTTATCATCAACTTTAGAACAAACCTGTGTCTGATTTAAATTAGCCAAAGTTGTCTGTAAGTTAACTGTCCTGACTGACCTGCAAGAAGAAAAGGCATAACAGCGATCTACAACTGTGTCATTAATATGCAGTACTTACAAATTAGATTTACTGCAGCTTTTAATAAACAACAGAACCAAATAAACCTTTAAAGGTCTACATTAGCTACCCTTTCAACTTCATAAATGTGTCTTATTAACAGCACCCTAATCCTCTACTAACTTCTAAAAATCTAATCAGGAATTCTCCGTCCTTCATAAATTATTCTACCCTTTAAATATCCTCAAATATCTCCCTTATCTCTCCACATTCTCTTCCGTCCTCTAATTTTTTTCATTTTCTATCTCTGAATTCTTAATCTGAGATGAGATAAAGTTGCATCAATTAAACATACAGCTCTAATTATATGCTGATGGACTTTATCTTCTTGAACACATGCGGCCGAGGCAGAGGTGAACACCATTTTTTTCTCCTTTGACTTTCAGGTATTTCTTTCTGTTCTTTCAAATAGAAGCACTAAACTGTACACATAACAAATATATATATAATGTTTGTTAAAATTTGTAATTTTTTTATTTTTTTTTTACTGGCTCTCTGAAATAAAGTTAATTATTTATACATTCTTTCATTCATAGGAAACCTACAATTCATTCACCCGAGGAAATATTTCCTTTTTAAGATGTAATGTTTTTAATATGGTCAACAAAGTTTATATAATCAATAATGTAATTGACTAAATTAAACAATAGCCATTCTGCAAGCAAGTATGTGAAGAGGATAATAACAAACTAAAAAAAAAAAAAAATCAATTAAAAGCCTTCTGCAGTAGGGATGAGGAGATTCACTGATTCACATCAGTGCTCCTACATGCATACATTGAATGTGAGTTCACAGGTAGATTAAATTTGCGTTGGCTTGATTATGAGGGTGAATTTACAGCCACTTTAGTGAGGGCAGGATATTTAGCACTAAAGGAAAAAAAGTTAAAAAAAATTACTAGTGTTCATCAAATAAGATTAATAAATCAAACTATGCCGTCTGACATTGAACCAAATTTTAAAAAATAAAATTTTAGATGCACTATTGGCTGTGGAACAGCCTGACTTGGGATGCTAGTTTACAGACTTTAAGGTACAATATCTCACCTCTATGAGGAATATTAAAATACGTCAGCCAGCTGGATTATATGGTTAATCATAAGAAGGAAAATTTGTTGCATCTTCAATCCCAAAGTCTTCCAAAGCATGCACAATTAAAAAAGCTGAACGATAATACCCCAATAATTAATTAATTAAAGAGTTATATCAATGTCCGTTTAATTAATGCATTCAAATTTTTTGGTAAGATTCCCTTAATATTCAGTAAAAAAGTCGAAAGTCCACTCCAGGTCCAAGAAGAAATATCTATTTGCTTTCCTAGCTGATGGTCTGTCACTGTTGTTTGCTCTAACCGGACACAGGATAGGTTCTCAATGACAGAACTTGATTCAGAATCCAAAACCTAATACTTTTTCATTCTTATCTATACGGAGTGACATTTGTCTCTTCTGTTCCTCATGCTTTTCCTTATCAAAGTTATTTCAGTCCATTGTTGCAGATGATTCTTTTAGTGGATAAACTGATGTGATTTTATACCTCCTTGTATTTACATTGCACACATTAAAACTCATAGTGTGCATTCATGTGTAGTATTAAACATAGCCAATGTTTTAACTCTGTATTTGTTAAGCTTTTCATTTATCAGCAGTATCCACAGTTACTGCTATTATTTCTCTATTAATATGCAATATTCTGGCTTTTTTTTTTTTTTTTTTTTTTTTGCAAATGCTTTTCTTCTGTAGATCATAACAAATTGTGGATATAGATTGCCTTGCATTTATCTTCTCTGATGTTAAAGTGGTACATCACCAGCAGCAGCTGCATTCCTATAGGCATGAACAGAGACCAAAGCTTCAAATTCAAATTAATACAGTTGAAATATGCTTTTTAGGAATATTACTTTTCTGTATTGAAACCTCTATGGGTTAAGCTATTAAACTCTCAAACCCCAACTAACTATATCAAATTATCACATAAATCAAATCTTCTTATAGAATCATGTCGTTATGAAATATTTTTTTTTTAATTACACTGAATTGTGAACAGGGGTTATTTGTATAGCATTCTTTCAAGGGGGATTTAGTGCATCACAGTTATATCGTATCGGTAGTAGTATATTGAGATGTGTATCAAATGGACCTTAGTGGTGGAGACATACATCCCTATTCTGCAAGTTTTAAAATAATCACTCATACCAATTTTATAATAGGCTATGACAACAACATTAAAAGACACACAAAGATTATATCAACAGTATTAAAATTATTTTGGAACAAGATATTGACAAAAATAACCGGGACAGTTCTGCCTAGAGATAAGCAACAGGAACAACCCACACAAAAAAATAGGTTGCTGGAAACCAAGAGATTTTCAAGGAGCTGAGGTCCTATTAGCCTTGCCCACACAGCTCCGAATACAAGGCAGAGATTTCTAGAGCATCTCTTTTTTTCCCTGGGGCTTTCCTTTTAAATCAAAAATTGGCTACGTTGACAATTACAATCTCATTTTGTTTCTTAATTTCCAGGAAATTGTGAACTGCAATATGTGACCGTCAGCTAAACTGGTATATGATGGGTATAGGGACCATTCAAAGGGTTTTTCAATCTAAACTTCTGACACAACCTCCCTGAAAGAGACTAAAAAAGTTTAGCCATGATTGGAAAGGCTTACATTCCACAGCTAATCCCCCCGTTTCTTGTCCCTGTACTCCTCCAAAAGCATCTTATGTCACAACTTCAATTCAATTTACTTTACCCTCAATCAGTCTCTCTAACTTATCATTTTCCTCTATCTTCTTTTTTTGCTGTAAAGTTGTATCTAAAATGTTGTCCACTCCTTTGTGGTTTAAGATGTGTCTGACCTCTCTGCCTGCTGGTTCATCCTCGCTCTACTCTGTCTCTTCACTTGACTTTTTTTTTTTTTTCTGAGTCTGTTAGATTTATTTTCTGTTGGGCTGAGATTGAAAGATCAAGTTGTATGGAGCTGAAATGGGAAAACTGTGTCTGTTTGATTCAACTGCTCTTATTCACAGACATAGGAAGAAGATAAATTCTACAGTAGAAACGTCAAGCCATTTATTGTTGCCATCCAAGGATGTGGAGGCTATTCTTTGTAAAAGGATGTTGTTTACAAGCATAGTGATCTAGTGCATGTACACTCACTGGCCACTTTATTAGGTACACCTGTCCAACTGCTCGTTAACACTTAATTTCTAAGCAGCCAATCACATGGCGGTAACTCAGTGCATTTAGGCATGTAGACATGGACAAGACAATCTCCTGCAGTTCAAACCGAGCATCAGTATGGGGAAGAAAGGTGATTTGAGTGACTTTGAACGTGGCATGATTGTTGGTGCCAGAAGGGCTGGTCTGAGTATTTCAGAAACTGCTGATCTACTGGGATTTTCACGCACAAACATCTCTAGGGTTTACAGAGAATGGTCTGAAAAAGAAAAAACATCCAGTGAGCGGCAGTTCTGTGGGCGGAAATGCCTTGTTGATGCCAGAGGTCAGAGGAGAATGGCCAGACTGGTTCGAGCTGATAGAAGGGCAACAGTGACTCAAATAACCACCCGTTACAACCAAGGTGGGCAGAAGAGCATCTCTGAACGCACAGTACTACACAGAACTTTGAGGCAGATGGGCTACAGCAGCAGAAGACCACACCAGGTGCCACTCCTTTCAGCTAAGAACAGGAAACTGAGGCAACAATTTGCACAAGCTCATCGAAATTGGACAATAGAAGATTGGAAAAACGTTGCCTGGTCTGATGAGTCTCGATTTCTGTTGCGACATTCGGATGGTAGGGTCAGAATTTGGCGTCTACAACATGAAAGCATGGATCCATCCTGCCTTGTATCAACGGTTCAGGCTGGTGGTGGTGGTGTCATGGTGTGGGGAATATTTTCCGGGCACTCTTTGGGCTCCTTGGTACCAATTGATCATCGTTGCAACACCACAGCCTACCTGAGTATTGTTGCTGACCATGTCCATCCCTTTATGACCACAATGTACCCAACTTCTGATGGCTACTTTCAGCAGGATAATGCGCCATGTCATAAAGCTGGAATGATCTCAGACTGGTTTCTTGAACATGACAATGAGTTCACTGTACTCAAATGGCCTCCACAGTCACCAGATCTCAATCCAATAGAGCATCTTTGGGATGTGGTGGAACAGGAGATTCGCATCATGGATGTGCAGCCGACAAATCTGCGGCAACTGTGTGATGCCATCATGTCAATATGGACCAAACTCCCTGAGGAATGCTTCCAGCTCCTTGTTGAATCTATGCCACGAAGAATTGAGGCAGTTCTGAAGGCAAAAGGGGGTCCAACCCGTTACTAGCATGGGGTACCTAATAAAGTGGCCGGTGAGTGTATGTGTGTTGACACAATGCCACAAAGGCAAGTAATTAGCAATATACTTTGAAAAACAATTTCTGTCCAGTAATCTGAGAGGAGCAACAGGAACAGCTTCAAAATATGTAAAATAAATGATTAATGTTGAGAAATGATACATTAAAGTTAGTTTACAATCTTTCCTTCAATGAAAGTCCAAGAAAACACACTCTGAAAGGGATCTACATCTAGTTGTGACAATATACTTTATTTAGTGAAATATCTATTTTCCACGAAAACACAATACAAATACTGCAAGTTGTTTGTTTGCAAAAACAAAGAGCTTCTATTCAGATCCTATTGGCTTTAGCTCCCATGTTGAACTTAATATGTAAAGACAGGACAGTAAGTAAAGACTGAAAAAGAGTAGCTTGATTTGAAGGGCTTCAAGGGGAAAGTCTTTCTTAAACAACAAGTTTAAAGCAGTACTTAAGTAAAAAATATTATATCCAATAAAGAAAAATGGCAATGAGTAGGAAGAGGAGCGAGGATCTACAGCCCCCAGGGCGAAGAGAAAGTTTATTGAAAAATGGCGCTTTCGGGGAGAGCGTGTTTCGCAAGAGGCTGGCTTATTTACGACGATGATGAAGCTAATGAGCTGCTTATTAAGCAGAAAATATGCAAAAGCGATCAAACACAATTAATTTGTCGCTGGCTGTCAATCTATGAAACTGGAGAGCACCTGTGAGCACAAGCGCAGTAAACGTCACATTCCCTGGATGTCCATGTCTCAGGCTCAATCAAAACAACCCATGCCACGACCACTATGAGTGCGCTGATGGCTACACAACCACAAACATGCAATGATTAAAATATTGTTTTGCAAGACCCATGCCAGTGGAAGAGAGGCTATGCTTCTATTAACCATTTAAATATTTTTTTTTTATGGTTTTACAGCCACTTTATCAAATAAAAGTATTTTTCAGTTGAAGTTTTTTGAATGAAATTTAATGACATGCTACAGGTATAATACAACTTTATCTAATAGAACTACATTACCTTTTACTGTAGCTTTGTTTGCATTTAACATAATGCCATAGCGAAATAATATGTGAGAGCAAATTCATTTTTTTTCTGGGCGGTAAAAACATGCTTGGTCCACTTGAACTGTGAGTTAAAAAGTTGATTTCAGACCCTGTTCCCATACCCCAAGATAACAGAATCAGAGTCACAGCAGCTGCATGATGAGGAATAATCTAATAGAGGGCATTGCTTAAAAAAAGAAACTTGCTGTTAGGGACGGGAATCGAAAAACCGGTTCCTGTTCAGAACCGGTTCTGTGTGTTCCAATTCTATGGCACTGTTTGGCAGCTCACTTAACGATTCTCTTATCGATTCCAGGCAGCACCAGAGCCTAGGGCTCTGGGCAACACGACTTACGTCACGTTTTCTTACGCAAGTTACGCACACGGCATTTAGTAAGCAAGTATGATGTGACCAGGTGTAAGTTTAGAAAAGCAAAACAAAAAAAATGTCGTAAAGCGATCAAAAGTTTGGCTTCATTTTAAAGAAGAGAAAGCTGGCAACAAGCCGCTTTGCAATCATGCAAAGTGGCAATTACATCCGTGGGAGGAAATACATCCAGCATGCAGAAACACCTGTGCACACAAAACGGCATACATTTGAACGAATGCCGTGTTTTGGATGCTTCCAGACAGAAGCTAAAGTTACGATCAGCATGGAAGGCAACTCTGGTGGTAAGAAGCTAGTTGTATATCAATGGCTATGCTTAATGTGGTTCCTAGTAAATCATATGCCATTTCATGCTACATGCTACGAAGTTGCTCCGCAATTCAGGGAGCGAGAGAAAGGTGATACTCGATTATTTAAATCTGGGAGAGATTAGTTTATTTCTCAAAATTGTACAGTAATGCTTTTTCATTAAACGAATCGATAAGAGAATTGATAAGGAATCAAATTGTTTCATAGAATCGATAAGGGAATCGGTTCTTCATATCTTGGATACCAAGAGCAACTCTGAGTACAAAAGTAATCTGAAAAAAGTTTTTGACCACTGATCACAAAATTTATATGATGAGGAATGTACTACCAATAGATGTGGATAACAATATATAACCTGGTCAGAACCTTATTTCCTTTCTCTTCTGCTGGACTGACTCTGTCAGCATTCCCACACTTGCTCATGGTTTGTTTTAACTTGCTTCCTTCAGTGTCAGTGATGCCTCACGTGAATTTTTAGTAGGGCTTGATTCATGCTTTAATCATTGAGTTCTGTGAGGAACATTATAATGAGCAGCTGACAGTGCTAGACAATATCCCAGTGCTTCCTATGCAATAATGGTGGAGTAAAAATCCACTGACACTGTAGTGTTTTTTGAATAAAAATGAAAAACCTCTCAATTTAAAGAATAATTAAAACACTCATCACCATGTCAGTGACAAATAAGTAGTACAGAGAGGCAGAAACATGTTAAAAAAGAGGAGTCGTCTCTAAAGTGTAGTTGGTGCAGGACTTTCTAATTGCTGAAACAACACACTAGAGAAGAGAACTCTCATCTGAGTGTAATTAAAATTAAAATTGCTTCATCTTTCCTAAAATCCCACATGCACACATCCATGTTTAATAAAGAGGGTTTTTTTTATTTTTATCACAGCATCTTTTTAGTATGTTCAGCATTGCAGGTTATAGTTCTGCATAAACATGCAGAGCACAAAAACATTGAGATACTAACCTGTGAGGCCATCATTAGGCCAGGAGCCCAGCTCACAGGCTCGGCAGGTGTATTCATCAAACACAAATTCGTTCTCTTTGCACGGGGTGCACGTCCAGCAGCAGCTCACCTCACCCTTACGGATCACCTAAAAGAGATTTTTTTGGTTTTTATCCCCCATTTCAATACATGGATCGATTTCACAGGAAGGTTGTTTTGTATTTGCTGACATGTCAACTCCTATGAGACCAGCTCAGGTAAATTTATGTGAAACTGCAGGTAGAGTGAAATCAAGCAGAAAGTGTGATTTCTTTGAAAGTTTTATAAATAAGTCCACAGAACCATCTACTAAATGCAAACACTGATTACAAACAAAAGCGATTTAAAATCTAGGCATGGAAATAATGATAAAGTATTTTATCACAGAAATAAAAAATTAACTTATGCTATTATTTAGCCCATGAGATAGTTTGAAAATTATTTTTATGAGACAACACATAAAATTTTGTGGAAATATTAAACATTAGTTATGCTTGCACTTTAAAATTATCACAGGCAGCAACCTGCTCCAAATCAAATATTACCTTAATCTGGCCTTTGTCACAGGGTTCGCTGCAGACCGATTTAATGATGGCATCTTTGCTGGACCAGATTTCATCATCATCCATCTTTAACCCACTGTTGTCCCAACTTCCAACACTGATGTAGTCATAGTACTCCTTCCCAATTTTCTTGAAATTCATTATTTCATACCTGTTAATAAAAATGCAATCGTTCAATGACCATATGACACTAAGTTCCCTGTGAAAGATCAAACAAGCAGGCCGATCAAACAGATTGAAAGCTGGATATGATCACCCAGTAGTTTTATCTACCTGCCAGGTGAGTCCCCATTTTCATCGAATAAAATTCCCTCTCCTGACACACCAGTGAAGTTGGTTTTCATCAGGAAGTCCAGCAGAGTAGCACCATCTATGGGTCGCATTGCATCACAAAGGCCCTGAAAATATAATACATTGGCCACACAGATCATGAGTTATGCAAATGTAATTCCATATATTCCATGGAATTATGTAGTAAATAACATTTACAGAACACAATTAGGTTACATTGAAAATAGATGAAAACATCTTAATAACAGCATTTTACCTTATACTATTATAATTAAGAAGCTCAATATATTTTGAAAATGACAAAATACAATATTAAACTGGCTCAAGTACTAGATCACTTTAATATTTAATTGTCAATAAATGTATTTGTTTCATTAGGAGAGGGTTCTTTAAGTTTGAAAGTTTTAACACAATCCATAGACTTTAAAACCAGAGGCCCATTTCACAAGGCGGGTTTAATGAAAAGTTGAAGTTTATTAACCATTTAATCTGGGAAACTTCGAGTATTGCATTTCAAAAAGAGTTACTCACAACAGTAAGGAGAGCACCTTTGATAAATGTCAAAACAGCCTGCCATAACAGAATACATATAATTCTAGCAGCAACCATCTCCCTCTCCTTTGCAGCTGTAGCACCATTGCTGTTTCTTTTAAACACATTCTCCAATATATTTTTGTGATTTAACTTTAAAATCTTTAGTTCTAGTGGAGTGAAATAGTTCAATCCCCACGCCCACAGAGTGGGGCTTGAACTCAAAATTAAAGCTTCTACTCTGGGTGTCTGAACAAGACCCTTAACCCCACACTGCGCCCTGGGCGCTGCACAATGGCACAGTGACAAATGATTTAGTGAGCAGCCACTTGTGAAAAATACTATTGCCTTTTTGGCCAATGTTTAAATGTGTAGGAACTTCAAATAATTAACATTCCAGTATTGCTTTTTTCTTTTTCTTTTTTCTTAATACGTTTTCTTAATAAGTTTATTAATAATTAATAATAATTTATTAAATACAAGTTTTTTAATAATATTGATATCAATACTTTGTTTTAAAAAACAAACAAAGTGTTAGGTCTTGGTTCAATAGGCTATGTTTATTTCAATATGTTTTAATAAACATTTAACCAGTCCGGCCCTCGGCTTGCAGCAAATTTGTTTTTTTTTTTGGCCCTCGGTATCTGACTTTGACATCCCTGACTTACAGTATTTATACAAACATTACTCAAATGTTACCTACTAACATTGTTTTATAAATGATGTCACACAATGCAGATGCTCGGTCTTCCCTATCGAAGATTCGCTCACTTTGATTAACCAAATGCTGGAAGCATCTAAAAATGCTGATTAACATGAATTTAGATTAAACTTTTTCAGGGCTCTTTTTAAACCAGTAATTAAAACCATCTAACTCTATGCCCAGATGGTCCACCAACTTCAAAAATAAAAAAAAATTAGCTAGTGACAGCATATAAAAAGGTATTTGCTCTATTCTCACAAAGCAGTACAGAGAACATTTTATTCCTTTCACTCCGATAAACATAGGCTACAACACAAAACACACATCAGAGGATATGCTCATACATTATAGATGTGACAGGACTTCAAATAGTTTAATCACATTTTCAGACATGGTAAAACAAAGCAACAGTTTTACTAGCCATAGAAAGATGAGCAAGGACAGTTTTAAAAACATTTTTGTAGCAGGTTGTAGAGTAGAAAGAGCCAGAGTAAATTTGATTATCTAATCTGAATCCACAAATTTAGTTTCACTTAGGCAAAAAAGAGGCCACTGCACACAGAAAGTGAAGAGCTCTGGCTACCCAAATCACTAAAAAAGAAAACAGAGGCACGTTTAGAAGGTGATTATCACTTCCAAACTTATTCTAAGAAAGGGGAAGATGGACTACACTCTTGGTCTCACAACTTTTTATAGTGATTATGGAAAAAGTCTACTCAATCTTTAAGCAACTGGTGATATTTTATGTCAGTACGTTAGAACACTGATTTTTTTTTTTTAGCCCTGTGAATAAAGAATTCATCCATCTTCTTCCACTTATCCGTCAGCGTCACAGTGGGGCCGTTGCCTTTCTCCAGCAGTCTATGGGTGAAAAGCATGGAATACCCTGGACAGATTTCCAGTCTTTCACTGGGCAACACAAATCCACACTGAAACACACCACCATGCACACAAACTCACACCAAAGGACAATTTAGAGACACCAAGGAAGCCAGAGTACCCAGAGAAAAGCCAGAAATGCACGGGGAGAATAAAACCATGAATAAAACCCAAACTCAAAATGGTTATTGGGCTTACTTTGGCAGCACTTCAGTTTTAACAGAAAATCTTCCCTGTATGGGTTTATATTTTGACCCTCAACGCATGCAGAATGACAAATATTCAAACACGGCCTCGTAGGAATAAGGTTTGCTGAAACACAGCAGCTGTCTCCAGAAAGTTTTTTGCTTTGTCTGTTCAAGTCTGTTCAAGAATTTCCTTTGTGCATCAGGGCATTGTAGACAAACGGAGAAGGTACTGCTAGACTCTGTGCAAGAAGTAAATGCAGTCACACAGCCAAATTGGAATTTGAGAAATAGCTTAAACAATGAAACACAATTATCTACCCACTCAGCTTTTGCTTCACTTTGTCCCCTGTGTATTTACTTGTTTTCTACTGCACCTACCTGATAGCCCGGGCAAAGGGAACGCTGCATGTTGTGCAGGCCGAATGCCATAGAGTAAATAGCATTAATCACGAATCCCATCTTGGTGTCCTGTGCATAATGCTGCTGTAGGGAATCTCGTTCTGTAAAGATTGATTGATAGATAAATAAATAGAAAGTCAAAGCGGAAGAGAACTGGGAATCATATTTGGTTAGTATGGGCAGGGAAAAAAACAGTTAGTACATGAGAAAACACTTTTTTCCCGTAACATCAAAGGGCTCTCTCTCCCTCTTCAGTCGCTTCCCACCTCCACATTGCATCTCTTTCTGTGTCTGCCTTTGCCCTGTTCTTTTGTATTTCCTGTCCCATTTCATTAGAATAAATGAGAATTGACTCTCTTTGATGCAGCTCTTGCATACTGTTTAGCCTATGAATGGAGTGAATGAAACAGAGAGAGAATGGAAAAGCATTGAATAAAAATATAAAAATTTGAAGGAGGGTTCATTCTTAAGAGGGACCTGAAAGCTGTATGCATCCATATGGCCTGTCTGTGTGTGTGAGTGTGTGTGTGTGTGTGTGTGTTGGTTTGTAGGATATTCGCATTATAAGTGAACAAATGCAGAGATAGTAGTGATGTTAAACACAGTTATGTAAAAAGTTGTAAAGATTGCTATAGCTTTTGTTTCATGGATGTGAATAATTGTTCCAGATTGGAAGCTAATTTTAATACCAGACAAAAATAACCTAAGTAGATTAAAAGGGTAGTTTCTAATCTCTGTTACATCTATTTATGGACAAAAAATATCCAAGCCTACCACAGTAGTTGTCCTTTTTCCCTCCTCTGAAAGTAGCTATACGTTTCTTTAGTTAATTGTTTTCCTTTTGGAGCATCCAGGCCTAAATACTACAATCTGAAGATATCAAAACATCCCTTAGATAGAACAAAACAAATATCTCCTCAAGTAACACATCATACCCCAATCTAGGAAGAAATTACATAGCCCTCTATTATACTAGAAGTTGTCAAAAGGGCATTTTCATGGCTATGATACACCTAATCCTAACCCTATCAATGAGGGCCGGTATGAACAGATTAAGAAATAGTGGAACAGTTTTCTGTATTGTTATCTGGTTTATTTAAGTTAATTTATTTCATTCATTAAAACACAACTCATTCGTTCATAACTTATTCATGTAACAACCAAAATCCTTATTAGAGGGAAGCAGATGGAATAAAAACTTTCAATATCTGCCCCCATTTATATAAAAGTAAGAATATAAAAATAAAATACACCTTGCTGCATTGACAGCTTTGGTTAAACCAGGTAGGTCTAATCCGGATTTTTTTTGTAGAGTGGGCTATTCTAAGCCGATAGAATAATCCAATAAGAGACCAGGTTTGCATGCCGCGAACGGCCATGCAAGCCCACATCCACCATTGAGGAGAGCAGGAAACCTTTGAATTGTCCATATAGGAGTCGACTCAGCCGAGTTAAGTCGACTTGTCGACAGGTAAATTTTTTGGTGAATGCCTTACTCCCATGCAGCAATGAAAGTTAATCTAAATTTGATTCCTTAGATTCCAGGACACACCCATGGTTTAAGTACAGTTCTAAAATATTCAATATACTAGAAAAAGCTGGAAAACAGTCCCACATCATGATCTTACCACCACTAAGCTTAGTGATCTTTGATTAGACAGCCATTACTTGGCTTTCCACTTTCTGGACAAACAGCTACATTTTTGTGTTGTCTGACCAGAGAACTTTTTCCAGAAGGCATTTGGCTTGTTTGTGTTGGAACCAAAAATTTATATTGTTAACATTTAAGCGGGTCATTACTGGTTTGTCTCCTCTCTTATGTTGATATAAATTTTGTTGCACTGTGGATTTTGTTGTAGTGATTTCTAGCTCATGTCAGGCATTAGTTCTGTTACATTTTCTAACTTTTTAAGACTTGGGAAAAACAGATGTTAAACAGAACAATAATTCAAAACAAACAGAAATACTGTCTTGCAGACAAAGAAATTAGCCTTACTGAAAACATTCAGAAAGCCCAATAATATTAAACTTTAGTAAGCTATAAAGAAGTTACATCCTTGTCAGGAAATTCACATAACACCACAGAACAATTCCTACTTCAACAACCAAATGCTATTTTGAGATCTATAAAAGCTGTTTGTTTATTTATTCACCCAGTATAATACCCATGCAATTCACAAACTTATTATTTAAAAAAATGAATTTATTCCATTTATATTTTACAATATCAGTCACAAGACTAAAAGAAAACCAGATCTCCAGTTGCCTATAGTGCAAGGTACTGTTTGCATAATCTACCAAATGACAGCAGATTCATAGCAGTCTATTTTGCTATTCTATAGTTGTGTCTGCACTTACTGCCACAGGTGCGGTTGTACTTGTTGCTCTCCTGTGGGTGACCTTTTAGTCTGCAGTGAAACCGGTGCTGCCAGAACTCTGGAAACCAGGGGTTCCTGTGGTTGTTTTCAGGACGGAGCTTCAGGTAGTAATCATCGAACCATTTCACGTCCGCTGACTGAAGCTTGATGGTAATACCGCCTGCTGCTTCCTTGACATAGCCATCTGTCACATCATACCTGTCCGCCCATCCATCGCTGCAAAGGAATTATAGGAAAGAAAGAGAGTAGAAGAATTTAGCAAGTCTAACCATGAACATAGGTAAAAACAATAATAATTTTAAGATGAAACCATATAGTGCCCTTAAAGGTGTCAAAGCAGTTGTCAACCTCCTTTAATATACTTTAGTGGAATTTTATAGTATAGATAAACATAAAATTACATAGAATTGGGAGAGGAGAATAAACTGATTTTTTTTTCTTTTTTACTTTTATCCCTGATAAATTCTATTGCAGGGAATTGTCTTTGAAAGTCATCTAATGATTAAATAGAGCTTAAAGTAACTCAGAGAGTCAATTTAGCTAAGATGGAAATGTTATTGCACCATTGTAGACAGATTTACAGATACCATTATCTAATTTCCAAATTTGGCCTTTAAAGAAGAATTGCAAAAACACTGCTATTATTGAAAAAAGCCAATGAGAGACCCCTGTTTGAAGTTTGCAATGAGGCATGCACAAGGCTGAGCAAACGTATGAAAGACAACTCTCTTGTAAAGTTAGATTGAAACACCAATCTTTGTCTTAAATGCAATTTGCATTGTGCCGCAAAAAAAACAAACTTGCATTGCATTTGTACTGTGTTGTACAACTCATTCATAGAGGAAAAAGACCAGCATAGGTCTGTGGAAATGTTTTATTAAGGTGGGACGGATAAACCCATCAGAGTTGACTTAAAGATGGAGAAAATGCAGTTTAATGATATAAAACACTCAAGACTGTTGTATAGGTTTACAAAACATGTGTTTTATAACAGGGAAATGGCAGACCTATTACAAACAGAGCTGCAAATAAAGTTGTGTACACAAAGGGGAAGTAAACCATCTGATTTATAAAATGGCTGTCAAACCAACAATGGAGAAAATGCCTTATATAATGAAATAGAAAAGATTGTCTAAATGCATGCAGCAGGTCATGGTCCCAAACAGATCATATTTTACACACAAATGCACACATATTTCTTTTGCAGCAGAGGAAAGCAAGGAGCAGAAAAATAGAAATGGCTAATATGGGAAACATAGTCTAAAAGGAAGCATAAACAGAGCCAGGACTAGACAGTCAGACGACATGTAGGAGTAAACTCTTACATCATCATGGGCCATATCCAAAATTCAATGGATCACTTAGAAACGGGTTATAGTCACTAGGAATAGACACACCCACACATGAAACAGCAGACTTCTAAAATGATCTGGGACAAATAGAGTTTGTCCAATGCAGCTCAGCTAACAACAGCTACATACATGTAACTACCTCAAAATCCATCCCCACAGACACCATGGTTTGCATCTTTAGAAAGCTTTGCTGGTCTTTTAGAAAAACAGATATGAGAATGAGTGCATGAAAGAAAGAGATAAAAGGAGGGAAGTGGAATGAATGACAAATAACTACACCTTCCACAATTCTTGCAAGCTTGCCATCAGAAAAACAATGATCATCAGTTCCAATATACAATTTTGGTTCATTCAATATTTTTGTTTATTTCAGCCTTCTGTGAACTATGTTTTCCTTTTTCTCTCTCAGAGTCAGAGCCCTTAAAACACATTTTCTCCAACAGCAATCCCTGCACCCTCAGTTAGATTAGAGCTCTGGTGCTTGCATGAACTGTTTCCACTTCCTGCCACCAAGTAGATCTTTTTCTTTTGTCCCCTTCTTTTCCTCACTGTTGCTGCTGACAGCCTCTGTCACTGAGCTGTGGTCAGCCATCATAGTGAAATTATTTTTAGACTCCAGTCATTACACCCACTTACATCGATCTAATGGGATTAAATTAATAACCTATTATCTTTATGGTGCAAAAGGTCTATGAACTTAATGAAACAGGTTGTAATCCTTACACTGAAACTTATTTGACTCTCTCTTCAAAAATCTGTTATTTTAAGGCAACCTTCTCTGAGCCAAGTGTTTTACCCACTTTCATCCATCATGCAGAATACAAGTAATCTTTTTTTTTTATTGTTATATGTGCGGTGAATTTTGTTAAATCAGTAGGTAGACCTGACTTTTAATCATAGTCAATATTTTTCCGATAAATACAACAAATAGCTCTGACCAGTAATGTAGAGGTAATAGACGAGAACTATAGATGGTGTCATGTTTCTATGGCAATATTTCTTCTGTATTTTTCTTTTTTTTACTTGAACCTTGTTAGCCTTCTGCAGATGAGAGCAATGCAGAAATAGAATACTAGGATAGTAGGATAAAAGTGTAAATATAGTAAATGTAGTAGGTGAGTGTTGTTTCCCTGGAATCAGGGGTAGGGATGAAGTGCTTCCCTAGGCTCTACTAGTGCTTTTGTACCAAAAAAACATCTCAGCACATCCACTTTATTAACAATGATTATCCTACCTAATCTGCTCCCCGATGCATGGGTGTCAATTTCAACAATTGTGACTAAATGCTAACCACCTGAGGCCATTCTCCACTCCCAAAGTGGTTCAGACAGCAAAGGCTTTACAAATTAATTTCAGTTCTCCTTTTTGTTTTTTATGTTGATTAAACTCAGATTTATTAGGCAGTTAGTTTAACACCAGTAATATCTTAAAATGGCAACAAAACATCGCAAATAAGATGTTGATTTGCCAAAATAAAACAGAGGCAAGCTGTTGTGGGAAATTACTCCTATGCCAAGCTGATGTTTTAGGCATTTTATTCCTGCCAGTTAATCTCCATTCAAATACTTTTATATTCAGTTACATAAAACACTTCACATTTCAACTGAACAATTATCAGTCATTAATTTTGTCATTGTTAATAACCTTAATAGTGTATATTTTTACCTTATCCTTTTATCATGACTTTTATTAAACTATTGGTGTGACAAAGATTTGCATAAAAACACCTACAAACTTGATAGTGCATACAAAATTAATGTAGTGACCACTATAGGCAACTTGGATATGGTGTCACCAAAATAAGTAGGCTGTCATGAATAAGCAGAATGTATGTTAATCATCAGAACATGCAAAATACTGGAGGGGTATACAAAATGTAATTACCACCTGAAATACAATTTATCAAACCTGAAACATATCAGCATCTGTATTTAGCACATTTAAAAGCCGGGTGCAAAATTATATGCAAAAATATCTGTGGTAACTGTGAGAAGAAGAAGACATATTGACAAAAACAGGCCATGTTGAAAAGATAAGGCCTTAACATGACTTGGAGTGTGAGAAATAAAAGTAGTAGAAACGGATTGTCTATCCAACATTGGTATTTTTTGGGAAAACCCATCCTACATACTCCTGCATCTGGATCATTCCAGCATTTATTTCCAGTTAGTAACATCTACCAGTGCAGTTTTCTGATGTGCTGTCTAAAAATCTGAAATAATTTAATTTTACTTCCTCTATCTTAGACATATGTGCATGCATACAGTAGATTCCAAAAAGCAAAGTTGTCCCTTAATATTCAACTTTCTGATCCAGTTGTACTTTTTTACCTACGTCTGTGGCTTATACCATTTTCTTACACTTAAGGAAACAATGATAAGCTATATAAATAAATGAAATTAAACAGACTTGAGCAAAGATCTCACAGCTCATCAGCACTGGTTCCCCCCAGGGCTGTGTTCTTTCTCCTCTGCTCTTCTCCCTGTACACCAACAGCTGCACCTCCAGTCATCAGTCTGTCAAGCTCCTGAAGTTCGCAGACGACACCACTCTCATCGGACTGATCTCCGATGGTGACGAGTCCACCTACGGGTGGGAGGCTGACCATCTGGTGACCTGGTGCAGGGAGAACAACCTGGAGCTCAACGCTCTAAAAACAGTGGAGTTGGTTGTAGACTTTAGAAAGAGCGCAGCCCCAGCTACCCCCATCACCCTCTGTGACTCCACCATTGACACTGTGGAGTCTTTCCGCTTCCTGGGAACTATCATCTCTCAGGACCTAAAGTGGGAGCTGAACATCGACTCCCTCACCAAGAAAGCCCAGCAGAGGATGTACTTCCTGCGGCAGCTGAAGAAATTCAACCTGCCCAGGACAATGATGGTGCAGTTCTACTCCTCCATCATTGAGTCCATCCTCACTTCCTCCATCACCATCTGGTACGCTGGTGCCACCGCCAAGGACAAGAGCAGACTGCAGCGTGTCATCCGGTCTGCAGAGAAGGTGATTGGCTGCAACCTCCCATCTCTCCAGGAGCTGCACGCCTCCAGGACACTGAGGCGTGCAGGGAAGATTGTGGCTGATCCCTCGCACCCCAGTCACAGACTATTTCAGCCACTACCCTCTGGCAGGAGGCTGCGGTCCATCAGGACCAGAACCTCCCGTCACAAAAACAGTTTTTTCCCATCTGCTATCGGCCTTATCAACAAGGCCAAGACCCGCCCGTGACACTGAACAATGTTTCTCTCCCCCATTCAGGATTTCTGTGTTACATTAACGCACAGTCTACTGTTTGTATATAGCTTCTGTGTATATATATTTTATATATATTCTATCTTATTTTGCTATTTTGTTTTGTTTTTTGATTGCACCAACAACACCAAATCAAATTCCTTGTAAGTGCAAACCTACTTGGCAATAAACTTGATTCTGATTCTGATTCTGAGATCCTTAATTAGATATCTGTCAATTTGAAATTCGCCCAAGGTCAAACACTGTACATGTAAGCCTACATTACCTGGTTTAAGATTTGTGAGACCACACAGAAAAGCTAGTATTTGCCTTTGAAAGTAAGATATTTTTAGTTAAATCTCATTTTAGAATCTACAGCAGCCTAATAACTCTCCACAAAGACAGAAAGCACCAAAAATACAACTTGATTTTGATCAGTGAAACTAACTATTTCACATTTCTAGAACACAGCTAACAGAATGTTGTGTGAAACATGTATGTGACATATTATGCCAACAACACACATGCACATGGATTTTTAAAGAGTGAAGATTAACTCTAGATGTGCAGATGTGTGGGAGAAGATGCATAAAGAGAAGGGTTTCAAAGGATGCCTTTAGGGTGCACTCATAGAG